CTGGTAGATACAAAACTGTACATTCAATCTCTTTGCAAGTGCAGACATTTAGTTGCTGGGTTGAACCGGGATCGTCAGTACAATTACAGTACAAGATGACAACTTTACCAGCGAACATGCCTGTAATGTCAAACAGATCACCATCTAGAGAGGCTAAGCCTCTGTGACACCCTCTCATTGTTAATTTTATGTGTCATTCTCCATATTAATTTTCTATCGTTCTCATCACGTGGCTGGCTTCAAAGACTACTCAACCAATAGTTTTCACGTTGTATTTACTTTGACATTAACCTTGTGTAGGGTCATTTTGCCCCTGCAATTGTGTCTAAAACAATATTTCAGTAATATTTAGCAAAAAAATAAAATGTAAATCACAGCTACATGTTTTGCCACATTAACAGTATCCTTGTAATAATATATTATGAGTAATTTGCTGAATTGCATTAAAATATGTTGTCTCCATCTTTCTTGTATACAGTAACATCGCCAAGTAAAGTACAATGGCAAGAAAATTTAGTGACAAATATACCAGACAAGTTTGTAAGAAGTAAAACAAGTCAAGTAAAAGAAATAAAACCCATTCTACATCAAGTAAGTATTCTGTCATACAATGGGTCATTGATATTGTACATGCTATTATATAAAGTGTATTTTTAATGGTGTTGTGGAGATATTTTAACTCTATGATGCTCAATTTTTAATGCTTTATTTTTACACAAAATTATTGGCATGTGCATATGATGATGTGAATTGCAGTTTTTTGTTAGCTCTGCTGTCGAATTTGTCGAGCGGAGCTTAACATACGAGTCGGCGTCCATGTCAATGTTTTACTTTTTCGACTTCTTCTTGAAAACTACAAGTCTGAATGCTTTGATCCTTGGTGTATATGTACCTTGGGCAACCCTCTCTCAGATTTGTTCATTTCGTGATGATATCTTCAATTATCTAATTTTAATGAATATTTTTGTCATTTTTGGTAAAAAGTGATATTTTCAAATTCTTGTTTAAAACAGCAAGTCTGATTGCTTTGACACTATACATTTTGTTCCTTTTCTAATGATATCTTCAGTTCTTTAATTGAAATGTGCATTGCTAACAGCGGAGCTATCTCAGCCGCTTGTTTTTGTTCAAAAAGTCTTATTTTTAATGATTTAGTATAAAGTACATGCAGGTGTTGGTTTCTCTACACCTTTACTGTAAATCTATTTTGAGCACTTCCATGTCATCAAAATGACATATACAATGTATGAGTAAACGCAATATTATTCAATTATTCATCTTGAATATAATAAAATTACTCATAAAACATGATTCTTCTTGATGAATGACTACATACTAAAGCAATATTTACACTTTGAATATCCTTCATGTCACCCCCACCCAACTACCAAGCAACCCACCCACCCACCTACTTACGTCATAGAATTGCCTTTATATTTATAATTTACCGGTAGTGGACATGCTACTGAAATAATAAACACAGTATTTTTGTTATAATCCCAACCCACCTAGAATTGAAAATAAAAACAACACTTACAGCAGTACAAAAATGGGTTTGAAACTATGTCTGTGTAATTTTGGGTATTTTAAAATGAGGCTCCTCATTAGCTTCTCATTTGCAAACAGAAATACTCCTGATGACAAATGTAGCTTGCATTGCTGATACGTGTATACATGTATATTATAAAGGCAAATTTCTTGTGCAGTTTTCTCATCTTTGACTAAATTGCATAGGGTTGAGTTAGATGCGAAATATGTCCTTTCTTGCGTAATTATGACAACATATTTAAAAATTACTTTGTCGAAACACATTTACAGCCCAAGCACGGATTTTTATTCTATAACTTGTTACACAGAGCTGCAAGTAAAGATCACAGAGGTGTGAAGTCATCATTCAACACCAATCACCAAACAGCTCAGAAACATTTAGCCGGTAAAATTGAAAACAACTAGCAGCGTTTACGTGCTGCGTAATTTCCTGTTTGATTGACGATTTTGTTTTGGCGTCACTATCAAAATTATTGCTCCCTCTTACATAACACAAACTAAATGGTCTATATCGTAAAAATGTCAAATCATTTGAAACACTTATTACTCAAAATCTTTCTCTTCTGAAATCCACCGCAGTGGACCTGGGCTGGTCCGGTCCGGAATCTTGTTCTTTAAAAGGTGTTGGTAGTGTGCCAGGTTTAAGGTTTTGGCACTTCTCTTTAAAACCTTGTTGTTCTTTCATAAATGACAGTTGTTCAGCAAAATAATCAGAGGTAAAATTGACACTGCATATGATGGTGTAAGGAGAAGCTCCACGTCAACATTTTCACGGATTTCATCCATTGATGTCGCACCTTTAGATCGATTGGAAACATGTGAATACTTACACTGTGGCTATACATATTACTGCACCCGCCCACATTACAACGTTTAACCATCATAAATGTTTGTTGTGAAAACCAAAAAACTCTTTCTCTCTCTCTCAAAAACAAAAAAAAACACTGATCGAAAATGTATAACAATAAAAGTATGTTGAATGATCTAGTGTTATAAAAGTACTGCTCAAAAATATGGCTTCCTTACATATTTTGGCATTTGGTGGCACACTTTATTTTTGGCGAGAGTTGGAAATCCAGAAACAGTCAACTGTTTCATAGTTGAGTGTGGCTACAGCATGAGCCATATCTCAAATTTACTTGGATACGAGTAATCATTTTCTACAAAAAACAATCAAAAACTGTCATTGGAACACAAATCTAAGATGGGAAACAAGTGGGTGGGCATTTCACAGGCACTTTAAAAAGAGTGTTTTTCACAAAAATTTACGATAATCTTCCTCCAGTGCCAGTTTGGATGGATAACATAAGATTCGTATAATCTTTTGGACACCATTGTAAACTTTTGGTGCACAATCTACAAAATGATGCTCATCTCCACATGAAATATACAAAAAAACTAAAAGCTATATCTTAAACTGTCTGTACCGGTATGTGCCCAAAATGGTGATGAAATCTACTAAAAAAAATTGACAAAATGTGAACATATTTACATTGAATTCAATGTGGGAAAAATGAAAAACAAAGAATCAATACACAAATATTGTAAAATATACTCTGTTTTTAGCTTGAGGCTATGCACATGATCATTAAATTCGTTTTCTCATATGTATGTTGTCATGGTTACTTGGTAAATCATAGTGCCTGCGGTAATTTTAATGTTTTTTCCTGCGTTCATCATAGTTCAAAAACGATTGCTGTACCCATCCGGATATGCTGGAAGAGATGCAGTATAATCTCTCTGAACACCAGCTGTGATAAAAATATGAAAAACACCTGGATATAAATGTGTTATGCAAATTAAACGTGATCCATTATCCCTTGTATATAGAGCAGTACAAGACAGCAGATCATGTTGTGATTGTTTTCAAATCAGTTAATACTAACAGAATCCAATGTAAATTTATTTGATCTTCAGAAAAAATAATTTATAAAAAAAATGTATCCATCGAATTAATTAATGCATATACTTTCATGTATCAATGAGAAATAAATGCACACTTATTTGCTACGTTCACACTACAGCATTTTATCGAAGTTTGAGCCGACTCGAGCCAGCAAAAATGGCCTTGTATATGCGTTCGACTCGAGCCGGCTTGCAATAAACTTCACAACAGTTGAACAATAACTTAAGAGAATAGGCTGTAACACTTCTTAGCTGCCGTGTTTCCTGTTTATTTGAGATACTATTACCTAAATCGTAACACCAGTTCATTGTCTTTTCTACCTCAATGCTCAGACTCGATCGTGAGTGTTTCTTTTCTTTTTCTCCCAGATCAACAGAATCATGCCATGTAAGAAACAAAACAAGCTCAACACCAATATCGTTTTCAGCCATGTTTTTTCCATACTAATTATTTGAGGGCACTGTTCGAACTATGGCAGATCTCGGCTCTCATTCAGCTCCCGACCGTATGAACGCATTGGAGATAATCTCCTGTTAATTGGTGGGAGGAGCAGTAGTTCGGCTCCGATAGAATGCTGCCGTGTGAACATAGCAATTGGCCCATATAAGTTGTATGATACATACTATAATAGCACAATTAAATCTATAAAATTAATTACACAGACGCTCCTTATAATAAAATAAGTAGTGTTACAATTATTTAATCAGTCTTTGTAAAGAAGGAACAAACCATTCTCGTTTTACAATGTTTGACTCCCCTCTGCTTAGTGTATGGACATCAATGAAAACGTGCGTCTCCCAGAAAAAATCGTATTTACAGTATTCACCGACAGATTACATGGAACAAAAAGTAAACAACAGCATATGTGTATACATAATTTATTTACAGGCTGTTTTAAAGTACGTGACTTTTCAGGACCCTGCTGGAAATAAGTTGCTATGCGACTGTCGTAAACGATCGTCAGGATAACCATCAGTTTTGTATCGTTTTGTGTTTTCAATGATTTTATTGAATAAATTAAACTGAAATGAAATGATTTTTTTTTCTTTTTTTTTTTCAGAAACCCCCTGACTATGTGTATCCTTACAACAATGAAGTGCCATCACCCGTGGTTATAACAAGACACAGAAGAACAAATATGTTATCATCTCCACATACCAAGCCAAGATTAAAATATTGAGTCAACTTCCATTGAACATCAACAATTATTTTGTAATACAAAATATGAATTGCAGTCACTTTAATGAAAAAATAGGAATTTTTAATATAGTGAAATCTGATGTTGTCTGAATGCATGACTAATTGTATCAGAGATAAAAGCATTTATCCGTGAGCCATCTTACCACAGTTCTTGACATGTTTCATGGAGCACTGTCTCTGTCTCTGTCTTGTACAACTTTACTAATTTATTGAAAAATGTAATTTGATAGATATTCTACTAGAAGGCCTGTCATGTATTTAATACTGGAAATTTTTATTTCTCTCTCATCTTCAATTTCTCATGATTTTCTTGCCTGATAAATATTATAAAAGCTCTGATACAACCACAGGCATGTGCCATACAACATTATTTGTGAACATCATGTAATATGAGAGATACATGCACATCGCATGGGATACAACATGCACATCGCATGGGATACAACATGCAAATTGCATGCGATACAACATGCACATTGCATGAGATACAACATGTACATTGCATGCATAACACATGCAAATTGCATGCGATACAACATGCACATCGCATGCAATACAACATGCACATCGCATGCAATACAACATGCACATCGCATGCGAATCACATCGCATGCAATACAACATGCATATCACATGCGATACAACATGCATATCACATGCGATACAACATGCACATCACATGCGATACAACATGCACATCGCATGCGATACAACATGCACATCGCATGCAATACAACATGCACATCGCATGCATAACACATGCACATTGCATGCGATACAACATGCACATTGCATGCGATACAACATGCACATTGCATGCGATACAACATGCACATCACATGAGATACAACATGCACATCACATGCAATACTACATGCACATCACATGCAATATTACATGCACATCGCATGCGATACAACATGCACATCGCATGCGAATCACATCGCATGCAATTCAACATGCATATCACATGCGATACAACATGCACATCACATGCGATACTACATGCACATCGCATGCGATACAACATGCACATCGCATGCGATACAACATGCACATCACATGAGATACAACATGCACATCGCATGCGATACAACATGCACATCGCATGCAATACATGTATTATTGCATGTTGTACATGTAGCATTACAAGGTGTTGTATGAAATAAGATTGTGATTAACCATGTCACTGCCATTTCTGTATTCATTTCATGTACAGTATACTAAAGTAGCAGAGAAAAATTATCGCATGACTGGGTGTTCAGACTCTCCACCATTGTTTTATACATGTATATATAATTATATACATACACACACACACCCGTATATGGTATATATATTCTAACAATTTCTATTAATATCTTGTACTAAATCTCTTAACATTTCCTTGTCATTGCCCAAGAGGAAAAAGCAGGCCTTTAGTACAGCAATCAACTTCTCATAGGCACATGGACTGCATTTGTGTTTATTCCATGTAGTGAGATATTGTGTACAATTCGGCAGCCAATGAAAAGCTTGTTTGTTCAGTTGTTTTTTTTTTGTATATATTCTTCAACATGACTGTAGTTTGGTGCCAATTTAATTCACATGAACTAAAATGTTAGAATCATATTGTATAACCAACTGATGTACTGATTTGATTACTACCTTATGTGTCAAAGATCAAAATGTCAGTATGAATTACTGTCTTCTGTGTCATCTGCTCTGAATGGCAATGTAAATAATATTTATATAGGGTTTCTGACAATTTGATTCACAAGAGTACAAGTGTGTCGTTTTTATTTTAAAAAAAAAAGATGAATTAAAAAAAAACTAAAGGATCCTTTAGTTGAACTTTCATATTTATCATGCGTTAGATTTCACTGCTATCCAGTTGCCATGATAGTTTCATTCCAAGATTATTCCTATTGTTTGATTGGGTAGTGAGTTTATTATGTCATAATTCCTATTTAAAAAGATTGCGATTGTTTCTACTTGACTCGATGTTTGAATTTTATGTGCCCAACATTTGGAATTGTCTTTCAACTCAATCATCCATTCCAAATTACTGAGGCAGTACATCAAATATTCTACATAATACCGTAGTCCCAAAATAGCTATATGAATGATCTGAGTGTAAATTGCATTGTGGTGATTTGATAACAAAGAAATCTAACACAAGATTTCTAGCAGGTGACCAGTAGTCTTATATCCAAGTGTTTTTATCATGGAATAGTTTTACTTTAATATAACCTTTGTATTGTTGTATAGCCCTGTAATGAGGAAATTAAATTTCCTGTCCTGATATTCTTTTAATAGTTGCTACATGTATTTTTAATGTTCTTATGTAATGATTTACCTAATAATAATAATTTACTGAATTCCTGTTCCTCTTTGAAGGGAAATTAAAAATTCAGGTTTTTGGCACACCGCCAAGAATTGTATTTATTGAATAAGAGTTTATTCAATATCTGTTTTTAACATGAAGAGTGGAAAACATTGGTGGATTTTACATTTTGTATTTCTCAGTGATTACCCAATAATAGTATGAATGTATATTATAGATTTTACGGCATTCAAAAAGACAAAATTTGCTGACACTTCATGTTTTTTGACTCTTCAGAGAAATTGTCACTGCTACTATAGTTCATCATTTTCTCTCCAAAACTTTGTCTTTCGCGTAACTAACGCGGTTTACAGTAAAAACACTGACATTACTTGTGTGTATATTTAACGACAGCTCTAACTTCACTCCTGTCATTTATAATCTATGATTTGTTGAATTGTGACCTTTAAAAAATGTATGAATATGAATATTATAAGCAGATATCTTTCATTTTTGATATCTTTTATTGTGCACATATGAACACTGTTGGAGTGTCATGTTGGTAGATCATTTTGTAAATGGCAATCTTTTTGTTTCTCTCTGTAACAACTAAACAATTGTCTAGTTGAGTAAAATTTTGCTCTTTGTAAAAAATGAATTACAAAAAAAAAATTGTGTTAGGCGCGAGTCATATTTTTGCATTTGATTTGATTTTTGTTTTTCATTGTTTCTAATGAATTGTATGCAATTTCACTGTGGGTTGGATTGTGTATTCTTGACAGGACAGTGTTAAAGCAATAGGATTCCAACGAGTACATTCCTTATTATATACATTTACACTGCCACGTTTTTTTAAAAACATTTGAAGAATAGTTATGTCTACAAAATAAGATGATTTAAAATTTTATGTGTTTTAGTAATACAATTTCTGTCATTGTTTTGTATCTTTTAATATGAAATTGATGTAAATAATAGTAGCATGCACATTATATATTCAGCGGTGTTGTAATTACTTTGTGCAATAAAGTGCAACTGTGATTTTGATAATCTGAGGGCGCCACCAAGTGGTGGTTTGTTGTATGTTGTTTTTTGAGCCAGTGTGCGATACAGGGTTCATTTTTTGCCAAGTTTCTGGAGCGGGTAACCTCTTTTGCTAAAAGTTTCTGGAATGCATTCCTTTTTATGCCAAAAGTGTTTGGAATGGGATCCCTTTCAACATTGCTAAAAATCGTTGGGAGTCATTAAAATAGTTAGTTCAGCAGCGAGTTCATTTTGAGATTTTGTTTTACAAGCACCAGTGCTTAAAAATAATTTGATGTGTACACCATGACATTGAAAATACCTTTCTTTTAAATCTATTTGGTGAAAAGCTTAATCGGAATCCATAATAGCCAATCGTTAAAAACTCTACCTGGTGTGGTTGATGTGGTTTCGACATTTACCAACCCTGTTAATCGTTGCGGAAACACTCCTGCAGAAGTTCAACTTACGATTTTCAGGTCGAAGAGCTGTGTGCATGCAAACGAATCCACGACTTTTGATGAAAAATGAGGCTAATTATTCATTCAAAGTTTATTTTCCCTTCAATCGAAAATTATGGTAAATTTTAGAAATGTTTCAGTTCAATTCAAAAGAGATGTGAATTAGCTATTCCGTTGGGACTGGATGTTTTCTAAAAATAATGCACCTCAAATTCAGATAAGACTAAACACATTCAGCATACAATATACGATAATGCTTCCAATGACAGTGTTTATCTAAATTATCTTGAAATTTTATTTTGCCAACATTTGAACTGCGAGTGTAATAATTGTAGTGCAACATATTATTAAATTATCATATAAATCAATAATTGGCCTCGTATCTTTCTGAAAATCCGAATACAGATGTCAAATAAACATTTTTTTTATTTAGTTTTAGAAGATGCATAACAAAATATCGACTGCAAAGATGTTCACCTGTACTCAGAAAATAATAGATGAGTCTCATTATTTGAGATTTTTAATGATTTACGATTATTACAATTTAAACTAACCACACTACCGTAAATTATTAAGTATGCGTCAAAACCAAATTGTCTCCTGAGATGATTAACTTTCGTTTAGATTGTCCAAATGTAACGAATAACGATTGCAACAATATTAAAGCAGGAGGGTCGTCACCTGCGCACGCGCGGGAATTGAGTCCCAAACGACGATAACGACACACGCTAAAAACGCAAAGGCTTATGGGTAGACGCTTGTTTGTAAACAATGAAGCGCTATGGTCATCTGGCGCGTGCGTAGGTGACGACTCCTCCGCTTTAAATGAAATTAAGCTTGGAAATAAAATAAATTCGGAGAAAACACCAAAGGTAGATCGTTGTTTCGTGTATTCGTAAAGGTCCAAATATGTAGCAGGCAACGAGACAAACACGGGACATATAATTATTGAGACGATTTATATCAACATGTATACGATAATTATGTCATTCTGTTTCATGGGATTCTTGCTAGTTTCTCTGGAATGCAATGACTGTTTCAGTCAGCGCCTACAATCCCATTCAAGGTGGCCAACCAGTTGATTTTCAAACTGGTGCATTTACGTTTTTGGTAACAAAACACCAATTCATGTTGCATCAAGGGATCACCGTCCCTCATGGACGATGGAGGGATGTCACTCTGTGTTTCTAAGTACTGTCGTATTATAAAATGATGGTTACGACTTATGTATGGAGAAACGAAGACTAACTTACAATTGCTATGGATTTCAACATGGTAATGTA